CAAAATAACACTTTTTTACCGTGGTGCACACATTATTATCATTTTGTGATTTATTAATATATTTATCAATAAAAGGGACAAATATAAAAGCGGCCGAAAAAGTTTATTTTTCGAAAACTGTTAAAAGTTGAGTTTTATATTATATTTATTAAGTGTCAAAACAACAGTTTTTTGTCTTCATAACGTAATGTATTTTTTTCGAACGTACAATAATTTTCATATTATAGTCTTATAGAAAGACTTTATATTAATACTAGTTCAAAAGTCAAAATATTATTAACCTGTAGGTACAGAAATAGACCTAAATGTCAGTTGTACCCCAACCTAAAAATGATGACAGAATATTTAAAATTTTTATGGCTACGTCGCCCACGTTTTTCAAATTTTATTGCAGAACCGTCCTTGCCGTTAGTGTTGTTTGTAAGTGTACTGGGGTTATGTCACAGGGTAGGTTATGTATATGGTTATGTTCATGGTACAACAATGGTTATGTTGGCTTTAAGCGTCACGGCCACAAAGGCACTGCCTTTTACTTTGAAACAACCTGTTTGTAAGGTTTGTTTTTAACGTTTTGAGTTTTAAATTACTTAAACGTTAATTAAAATGCACCACCATCAAAAATCCTACAACAAATCAAAACATTTTTGTATATGCCGGTGTAACACACACATAAAAACATATACTAAAAGCAAGTACGCCCAACTTAAGTTAAGTAAATAATATTCTTCGATATCCGCAAGATTATTATATACTTACTATGAAAGAACGTTCATCTTATAGAATTAAGTATTTGTTTATTAAAAACAAGTATATGAAGGTCACAAACCAAATATATATTGTATTTAAAATAAAAGGTCCATTTATCCCAGCAAGTACGATAATCTTATAGAGTTAAGTATTTGTTTATTAAAACCAAGTATATGTAGTATATAACCCAAATATACATTGTATTTAAATTAAAAGGTCTATTTATTTCAGCAAATTAATCTATGAATTTATTGTAATTAATTTGTTATATTTCACTTAATCCTTACCTATTTTAAAGTAAGTATATCATAACATTAATTTAAATTGTACTACATTTAATTCAAGATATGCCTTTCTTACTAAGATTATATAATTTATTTAAATTAAATTAAAAAATTCTTAAATTAATAATGTATATATACAGGGCGTCAATTTAAAAATGAGCAACTGGCCAAAACTTTAAAACCAAAAAACATGTAGGTATGTATACCTACATACCTATATGTATGTATACATACATGTCTTTTGGTTTTAAAGTTTTGGCATTTGGCTCATGTTTAAATTGAAGCTCTTTATATAAACTTTTTAATTCAAGTATTTTTTAATTTAATTTAAAAAATTATATCATCTTATTAAGAATGGCACATATTGAATATAGGTACGTACTACATAAAACGGGTTAAAACATTTTGGTCAATAAGCATTGCTAATTTTGCAATAATTTGTACAAATCAAAATTAGTCAATTTTAGATCTTTACGATATTGTCAAAATGGTTTAAGGACCTAAACATAATTTAGACCAACCAGTTTTTTAAATACTTTAGGGAGTAAAAATGCATTATAATGCATTTATAAACAATCAAAAAATTCGACTACTGATAGATTATCTAACCTCACGTTCTACTTTTAATAATTATTATCCTACTAAGCGTCTTTTTGTGCTGAGCTCAAAGTTTGAGTGAACCTAATTACATAAATTACCTAGTATTTTTGTTTTACATTTAATGATGTAAGAATATTTTAAATAAAATTTTATATTTATTTTAATAACCTACTCGTTATCCCTCTTAATTATATATTTTATACCACGGTGGTCTGTCCAGAAAAAACATGATCTATATATAATATACCTATATAATTATCAGATGTATTCAAGCTTGTATAATACTTCTAATAAATATACTAGTATAGTATACTATAATATATACCTACTAGTATACTTACCTTGGATACGCAATAATAAATTCTATTTAAACTATTAATTTTAAAATCGTATAGATACCATCAAAACTGACTATCATAATAAATATTAGATATAAATTATATAATAGTCAGTTTTAATGTGAAGCTAAACTTGGATTTATAAGAATGGTAAAATAATTGAAACTAGATACAAATATATATAACAAAATAAATTTTATTTCACAACATAAAAACATTAACTTAAAAAAAATTCTTAAATTTCTAACACAGCCAAGTATTCAGTCTTAACAAAAGAAAATAAATACTATTTAGGCTTTACCATGCAAAAGTGGTGTTTTATAAAATAAATTTTAAATCACAACATAAAACAAATTTCTAAATTCCTAACCCAACATAAAACATACATTTTTTTGGTTTCAGCACAAAAAAATGCAAACTGAAATGTATAAGATGCTTAAATAAATACTAATATTAATATTTCGGTTCTGGTATATATTTTATACCACTTTTGGATACGTATAAATGTGTTGGAAATATGTGATCTAAATTTTCAAACTTGACAAATGTATAATCATTATTTGATTTTAGTTTAACCTCATAAGCCATGTAGTGTTCGTCAAATTTAATTGTTATATATTCTTTACAAATAAAAATTACAGATTTATTGTTCTTTTTGTTTAAAATAATAAATTGAATCAAAGTAAATGTAGGATAATCATTCTGTTTTTTGAGTTTCAAAATCGCATTGGGTTTAAATAAGACTCCATTAATATTATAGAAAGAGACGCAATCAAAATCAAAAAAATCTATATTTTTATTTTTAATATTTAAGTTGTCTATATGTATTTTATGACCAAAGATTATTTTGTCTTCAAATCCTTTATTTGATAAATACCTAAAATTTGATTTTAGTTGCAGTCTATTTGTTAAAGTAAATGGAATGTTAATACGATTTCTAACGTTATATGCGTTGCTTTTTAAATCTTTATGCTTTGCTTCAAATCTTATTGCAGACACATGACATGGTGGACCAATTAATTCAATAATTCTTGGATAGTGAGTTAAAAAATGATACTTAGGTTTAAGATCTTCATTAAAGAGTTTTAAAAATAGTTTATTATGTTCAGAAATGTAACTTTTTAATTGTTCAATCATAGTAACATTTATAAATGCACGACTAACAATTTCTGTAATTTTTAGTGCCAAAGAATAAAATTGCCAAATTTCATTGTCCCTTTGAACCATATCTCCTGCTATAAACCGAAAATTTTTAACTAGTGCCGACATTTCAGCCGATGACAAAATTATGCATTTATTTTTTAGATGTTGTTCTTTTATATTTGGTGGTACATTTTTTTCATGAAAATCATAAGAATGAAATTTTATCCTAAAATTTAGTTCATCTAAATTAAAAAAACCTGCAGTCACAAGTCCAGAAATAATATGCGCCATATTATAACGTAAAATACCCTCGTATAAATCATGCATAATATCAACGGACAAATTTTCGTAGACATGAAAATATTTTAGATCGTTAAATAAACATTTCTCTTTAACACCAAACAGTTTGTCATTAAGATGTTGCAAATAATCAGACTTTTTTCTTATTAAATTTATGTTTTCAGAATCTAACCTTTTAAGATGTTGTTTTTCACATATACAAAATCTACAAGAAAAATTGGAAGAAAAAGATTCGGTTAAGCCTAATAATGCATGGACTCCTAAATTATCTCCCACTATTAAACACACTGAAAACATGACTTGTTCATTTTCTTGTTCTATAAATATTCCATTTTTTTCTAATTTTGATAATTCATCAATTAAAGGATTTAAAATATTAGAATTTCCAAATTTTTTTCTGTCAGTCGAATGAAACAAACACGCAACAAATATATTTTCTAAGCGGCTAGCAAATTTTGGCGGAATTGTTGCTATGGAGTAATACACAGCACCAATTTTATAAACTCCAGCACGGCTTCCTAAAGGATTGTTTATTTCTAAATCGTCAAAATACATTATTAAAGGTAAAACTAATTCATTTCTTTTAATATTAAAGGATTTCCATAAATTGCCCTGGGTGAAATTTTGTAATAAATCGGCGGGAGCGCTTAGAATATTTTTTGAATATGTTTTTATTTGACTTAATACATTTGGTAGTTCTAAAAAATTTTTAAGTTGTTTTTCTAGAGGGATAAAAGAAGCAGATTCATTTTTTAAAACTAAAGATGATCGATTATCTTTATTACTTTTACTCATAGAAGTCCCAATTATATGTTGTACCGGTTTAATAAAATTGGTTTTATTCTCAAAATATTTTTCTCTTTTATATGAAGAATTAAATTTTGAAAAAATATTTAACATGTTTGATAAAATAGACTTAATATTTTCAAGTGCGGATTTTTCTAAAAATTGTAGTAATGGTTTTACAATGCTTTCACTTAAAAAATTCTCAAACATTTTTATTACAGTCTGAATTGTTGATTGAGTTATTGTCAAATTATCATATAACTTTAATACCAAAGTCTGAATTGATAATTCTAAATCTTTTAAAAAAGCATTATAATCAACCTCGCTAGTTGCAGCTGATTCTTCAATATTATCAACAATATCAGGTAATTTAACTGTATTATGTGTTATTTTAATATTTTTTACACAATGAAGATTTATTACATTATGACTAAGTAAATGCTTCTTAAAACTGTCTTTTCTTTGAAACGCGCGTAAACAATTCTTAAGTGGACACATAAACGTAAATTGTTTATGTATGTATTCTAAATGGAATATGAATTTATTGACATCATTAAATTTATTTAAGCAGCTTATACAATTCATTTTTAATTTTTACTAATTGTTAGCTTTTTCACTAACACTATCTAAATAATGTAAAATATCTTGAATGTAAGGAATATTTTTCTTTTTTTCCTTATTTATACCAAAAATTCCCTGTTCAATTAATTCATATATGTGTTCGCTTTGAGGTGGATAAGATATATTTAAAGCAAAAAAAGTTTTAAATAATATGTCAAATGCATGTAGGCAATTGGTAAACTCGTAGGTAATAGTATCAATAATGATGTAGGTTGTGGTTATTGCATCCAAAGGTCCCACTGTTAATAAATAAGGCTGAACAGCTATATTTTTAGCCACAGCCTTGTTCTTTTGCAAATCTATTATTTCTTGAATTTGTGCCGCGCTCTAAATTAAAAAAAGACAATATTGTAAGAAATTGGTTACTAACAATTTGAGTTAAAAGTAAAAGTACCCAAGTGATATTTTAAACATTATGAGTTACTAACATGTAATGTTCATCAACCATATAATAATAAGCATGAGCGGAAAAACACTCGAGGAATGTACACCACTTTTTCTACAACTGTTACGTAACAATAGATGCTATAGCATATATATAGTTAGAGTGCTATTAATATCTCATGGCGGATGACCTTGGGTGCGCAAAAGTCTCAAATCCGTCAAATACTACATAGGGTAAAAAATGCTGATACATATTGACATATTTAGAAGAATTTCTGGGTTAGAAATTCTATTATATTTGTTATAATATTATAGCGTCTCTCAAGGTCAACCGGCATGAGATATTAATATTACTCTATCTATAGTTTGTATACAACATAATCTCATGAATTTTTACAATTTCACACAACATTATGCATTATTGCGAGTTGTACAAAATTTGGCGTTTTACATAGTGGTCTTAGATATCAAAGAAAATTAAACTTGTACTTGGGTAGTTTTGCCTCGAACTCTTTAATTAGCTAACTTTAGAAATACTTACATAAGCATGAGTAATTATTGAGTCCGTTGATTCCTGAGTTGAAAATTTCCAGTGTTTATTTTTAATAATGTTTCTTCCTTTGGGTGGAACGAGTTTTGTTAACAAAGATATTTGTGCGACTGTCTTAGAACCTAAAAATAATGGTCTTTAATTTGGAAAAGAATCAAAATTATAATAAATGTAACACTTACTTTCAGTAAGTTGGTTTATATTTAAGATATCGATATCAGCGTCAGTTGATTTATATTGAATAATATTGTTTATAAATGAATCCCAATTCTTAATTAATAAAAATCTTTTATTTATAAAATTATCTTCAAAGTCAGATTCAATCTGAAAGTGCAATTTCTGTGACAATATCTATAGAAAGAAAAAGACTATTTAGTTCATATTTAACTTACCAAACTATATGACCTAATATCTTTTAAAATAGGCCAGGTTTCAATAAATTCGAAAACTTTAGCGACTGTACAATTTTGACGTAAGCCTATTGTCTGTTTCCAATGTTGAACCACTTCCGACCAGGGTTCTCTACCAGTCTTAAGCCATAAATAAGAATCGATTGAATTAAAATCTAAAACTAAAATGTTAATTAAAAAATTAATTGCACAAATTAATTTAACTTACCTATATTTGGTGTTAGCAAAGTTTCATTTTCTTGAATCTTTCGTTTCCTGGTAGGTCTTGCATAACCTCCCTTAAATATCAAATTTTTGGCCTTGTCAATTAATTTGCCCTTTGCACAAACTGATTTATTATTTGGAGATATACTTTTTTTTATCCCTGCTATATAATACAAATTTCCAGATTCTCTTGGAAATAATGATTGTATTTTATCACTAATTTTTAAATAATCTTTATGTGCTAAACGGCTACAAAAAATATATAAAAGCAAAATAAATACCAAAAAATATTACTTTTTTAACTTACTGTTTGACATGGAAATCAAAAATATGCCTCATTATGATATCAACTAAATGTCCTCTTAAAGTATTATTTAAAATATTGTGTTTCTTATAATATAGCAGTATTGCGGGTCCCATTGGAGCTTTATTTAAGACTTCAGTTAAATCAAAATCAGGCATATTAGGCGTAAAATCAAAATCTTCCTTTTTGGAAACCTGCTTATTTTCGAGTAGTACGATGACTTCGCTCTCGCTGTCAGAAGTTAAGGTCGAAGTCAAGGGAAAAGTACTAGTAGTTAACATTCCATCATCCAAAACCTCATGATAGGTTATCTAAATATTTTAAATTTAATTTACCATGCTATAATATTAATAAATAAAAACTAACCTGGGGCAACTCTTTAAATTTTTCATATTCCTTTATGAATTTTATTCGATCACCGATACTAGGAATTAACTCCTTAAGAATATCTTTGTCTATAAATAATGTTTCCATTTGTAAAATAGAAATATTGTGTTCTACAAAAAGATAGGTATCTAATTACACATTTTTAATTTCCATGCAAATTAAAAATAAATAAAATATGGATTTTTGTGTTTGTTTCAATTCAAATTAAGAAAAAATATTTTTTTAAACCTTAAAACATGCGATAACATTCTAAATTAACCAGCGAATGGGTTTAAAAAAAGTATTATTTAAGTAAATAAATTAATATTATACACGGTCACTAATCATGATCTCGTAACGCGTAAAAAAGTGTTCGACAAAATTTAATATTTTTGAATTTTTGTACATAGGCTGATGTCTTAAGGAAGTTTTTCTAAAAAAATACTTTCATTGGTAAATAATTATAGCCTTGGTACCAAGGCTATAATTATTTACCAAAGAAAGTATTTTTTAGAAAAACTTCCTTAAGACTTCAGCCTGCACGTGCAAATGAATAAACAAGATCGCGGTGGCAGGAGAGCAGAAAGTCTGCTTAATTCGCGTCATGACTTGAATACTTTTTTATACAGTCGTATGCAAATAAAAAGCGTACAGCCTTAGAATGAGAGGTACTGCACTTGTCAGTTAACTGAAGGCTGGTTTACATTTACGGCACTTTATTTTTTATAACCCAACTCGCCATATTTGACAAGTGCAGTACCTCTCATTCTAAGGCTGTACGCTTTTTATTTGCATACGACTGTACCTATATATTTGTTAATTTATTTAAATTACAATTTCGAGAATGTGTTTTCTTGTCAAACAAAGTTAATATTAAAGATATTTTTGAAATTTAATTATAAATTTAGACACTAAAAAGTAAATAGAAAATTTAAAATTTTAGCAAACCTTTTATGTTCTTTATAAAGGTGTGCTTTTAAGCATTACGCAATGTGTTACAATGTTTTTAACACACTTTTATAAGTATATAGGTATCACTACTGTTTTAAACAAAAATAACCTAACCAAACATTTCTACTGAACGCCGTTGAGTTAACGGTGTCTAATTTATAATGTATTAAATGCAATTATACATAAGTATATTATATGTACTAACACTTACCTAAAAATGTAGGAAGTAAATGCTCACTATTAATGTTTTTTAAAAACTCTTCCATCTTAAAAAAACGACACAAACCACTTAAAAGACGCTTTCTTTTCGGCACATTTTCATACTAGCCGAAATGGTGGGGATTTTAGTATATGATATACTTGCGCTAAGTATTTGTAGCTTGTAAGAAATAAAATTACATATTTATTTAAAAATCCCAAATTATTAAAATAAATATTTAACCCTAATTGTGAGAAGTATGTTCAACTATTAAAAATGAGAAAATATTCTTAACTTAAGAATATGAATTCAAGAAAATAAACCATTTTTTGTAAGTATATGCCATTATTCATTACTAGTAAATATACTTTTACTAAGAGTTTTTTTATTTGTAATAAGTAAACGTACCTAAGTTAATGATATACTTGAGTTTAAAATTTTATTTTTCTGTGTGCACACCTGTTAAAATTGGTTTGTAACAATTTTAATTATTATGTATTTATGATTGATGGCAAAGAAACAAACAAGAATTTAGTTAAAGGAGTTATAAATACAACCAGCTCATTGGATTTGTCAATATGTTTTGAATTTCCAAGGTCCCAGTAAACATTTGTGATTGCGTATTGAAATCACTCCGAAATCCCGCCGTGATATCACTGGCGCATTCATATGTTTCCACAATACACAATCAATGAGATATCAATTCGTGACATTCGAGCGAAATACGCACTCAATGGGATGTAACTTCGTGACATTGCTAGCGCGCATTCACGAGCGAATGTTGCGGGAAATATTTAAAATATGTTGGAGCTGTGATAAACGCAAAAAGCGTCGTAGTTATCGTTACTAGCGATGCAACGCCTTTTAAAACAAGTTGCTTCGCTAGTAACGATAACGACGAAGCTCGGTTTATCACAGCTCCAACATACAGACTCCTTGGTTGAAATAAAATTTTGGGTTAAAATATTTACAGTCAATGTTTGTTGGGAAAATTTAGTGATCGATAAAAATCACAAAAAAGAAGAAAAGTTTATATGAAATTTTTTGAGATACAGGGTGGTAAAAAAATAAAATATTTATTTTTAGGCGAATTTAATAATATTATTTATAGATTAAGTAATCATCAATATAACAGAAACAAGTTTAATTTTTTTCTTGAAAATTAAGGTTTAAAGCACACAAGTTCATAAAAACTTTGTTAACTATTCAATAATCCCAATTAAAATTTATAACGACTCGTTATGACGATAGATACTTAAAAAAAATCCAGTATGGTCATCCTAATCTAACGTGTCGTCAATTTATTTTAATTATTGAACTCAAAATGTATATTGCAGGGAGTTTATTAACATAATTATATATCATAATGCAATTATTTTATTCAAATCTGGCAAACAAAGATCAAAAACTTTTTTTAATTATGACGACTAGACATAACGATATCGTGAACGATAAAAGTGACGTGTCGAAAAGTATCGAATGACAAGTCTCGTAATTTTTTTGTATGCGTATCGTCATTGTTGGCAGGGTTAAAATGAATTTTATTAATTGGAAAAAAGGCATTATTCCTGGGAATTTAAAAAAGTAAATTTGACATTTAAAGATTATCTACATTTTTATCCAATTTCTTTGTTTATTTAAGTTACCATCACCATCTTTTGTTTTTAAAATGACCACAATAAACTATAAAACATTGTTGGATTTTCTGATTTTTTTGTATTTAACTATGTAAAATTTTTTATGGCAGCCATAGAACAAATCAAAGATGGTGATGATAACTCCATATTTATAGATTAGTAATTAAAAAAAGTAAGTTTCACATTTAAACATGCATATTTTGCTACATTCTCATCTAATTTTTTGACAAAAAAAATGGATGTTAATGTAGAACAAAGTGTATGTTTAAATGTGAAACTTACTTTTTTTTAATTACCAGGAATAACAAAGTTTTAAAAAAAATTGGTTTTAAGAGGTTTTTTTTTTCAAAATTATGTGAGAACCGTGGATTTATTTTCCAATTTTAAAATGCCATTTCAACGTTTCTGTGACGGGGCGGGGTACGCCGCTTACCCCAACTTTACGTTATATATAAAGAAATGTTTAAACACAGATAGCACAAAGGTATACTATGGACGTCCAATAGACGTATGCTCGTGGACGTCTGTATGTACATAGGATGTCCATTTTTTTTCTATGAACGTCCCATGGACATCCGTTTAGAGTCCAGATGTCACAACTTTGGACATCCATAAGTCGTCCACCGATGGACGTCTATAAGGTGTTTGAACCATTCCTCCAGCATCCAGGACCTGCTTTTTTGCTTACTTTAACTGTTTTTTGCTACTGTATTTTCATTGCGATGTTGCAGACAATTTTCTACAACATGACTGAAATGCCTTTTGTCTGGCTCAGTAACAATCCCACTAGGAATATAAATATTCCAAAAGTTGTTAAAAGTTACAACATTCAATGTTGAACATTGCAGGAAATCCTTGTATTCGACTCAGGAAAATTACATTTGCAATACTAAGTGTTTAACATTTCATTGATAGCTTAAGTCCTTTATAGCACGCGCTTGCTTGAATGTCAGTGAGATTGATCATAACTGTTGTTATGCAGCCAACAATACGTTTTAACTTGCATTTCTGTAATAATAATTATGGACGTAAAATGGACACTATATGGACGTCCATTAAAATCGTACAAAGGATGTAAATATATGGACGTACATAGTACATCCATTTTTAGTCCGTGGACCAATGTACTTAAAATGGATCTTAAACGGACGTCCATTGGACGAATGGTGCTATCTGGGAAGCTGGTAATAAAATATTTAATAATAGTTATTAAAGTTGTATACTATTTGGGACAGTCTATCAGCTTAGTTATGGTTATAATACCTGTTGTCTTAAAACACTTTAACAATGGTTATTCAATCTAAAGGGTGTATCAATAAGAGCGCAAGATTTCAAAGTTTAGTAAAACATGGTTTTAAGTATTAAAGCATTGAAATATTTATTGATTTATAAAGTACACATTTGGAAATTATGTATAAAATAACACATCTGGTAAATGGCCACCACGGCTTAACTGGCACAAGCGTATTCTTTTGGCAAAATTTGCAATAACATTATTGAATACATGTGGCGGTATTTCGTTGATAGAGCGTCTAATTTCTGCTTTTAAGGCTTCGATGGTGGCGGGCTTGTTGGCATAAACTTGTGACTTCAAATAACCCCACAGCCAAAAGTCCAAGGGTGTTAAATAGTGGTGAAAATGGGCCTCATCACTGAAAATGATTTTGTCCGCAAAATCGGCATTCACTTCTTGCTGCTCAAGGATCCAATTGGTGAACTCTCTTCGCTGTTCATGGTCTTTTGGCTGGAGTTGTTGAGTCAATTGGACTTTGTAGGCATCAAGATGCAAATCTTAAGTAAGAATTTGCCGAAGAGTGGCTTTTTTAATGTCAAATTCTTGTGCACGATGGCAAATCGACGTCTCTGGACTCTCGGCCACACTCTTGCGAACTGCTGCGACATTTTGTTCTGAAAGAGCTCATGTCGTGTGTTTCACATCACTAACCGAAGCAGTGCTTTTAAATTTTTCGATTATTCTTTTCACAGTAGATGAATTAGGAACATTATTTCGAAAAAATATTGGACGCCCTTTACGAATCGTGGCAATCAAACTTTCATCATTTTGATAATAGTGTTTAACAATCAGGACGGGTTGTTCTATCGTGTAATGCTCTATATTTACTAACTTCCATCTGTCTCCTATCAATCTGTCATGTCATTAATCATGTGACATTATGGTTGCCAAACTGAGGCGAAATTCAAATCTTGCGCTCTTATTGATACACCCTTTATAAACATATTCAAAACTATTAACTACAGTTATTTAAGAAATATCATTATTACTGTTAAACAGTTTAATTATTATCACCAAGTTATTTTGTGCTACCAGTGAAGCAGTTTAATGATGGCTATTATGTCATTTAAATATTAACTATTACAATACAACTCTCTTAGAGCTGTAATAATAATTGTGTACTTACTGTAATAAAGCTATTTCATAACCTTAGCATTTTTTTTTCATTATTCTTCCCGCTTAAATTTAAACTACTATTTTTTGATTTTTTTTTTGGGGTGGTTCTAATCGGTTAAATATAAATAAAAAAAATTATGCCAAGTTTCAGCTCTCAATATTTAACCTGGCCACCATCGCAGTCAAAACTTTCAATGAAAAAATGCATGTATTTTTTGAAATTAAAATTTATAACTTTGGTAATAATTTATGAAAAAATTTAAATTTGGCAGAAATGTTATTTATAAAATGTAATTACATTATATTATAATGTATAAAAGGTTGCATTGAAAAAAAATTTCTTGAATATTTTTCAATGCATCCTCTTTTACATTATGTAGGTAAGTAAGTGACTAAATTGTGCCTAATTTTAAATATTTTCGTCAATAATTATTATTACCAAAGTTATAAATTTTTAGTTTGATTTTAAAAATACATGCATTTTTCTATTGAAAACTTAAACTTGTGTGGGGGCTAGGTTATAATTAATTAGGTTATAATTAATATTTTGAGCTAACTTGTCCTGTATGATTTTTATTTAATTTATTTTAACCAATCCCCCTAAAAAAATAATAAAATAATAATAATAAAAATCTTAATAAAAATGTGTGTATATATGTATATAAAATAGTAAATACTGTATGAGATCAAAAATGTTTATTAAAATAAATAAGAACTTCATGGTTTTAAAACCATATAAAAGTATTTAACAAAACAACAAAATGTTTATAAAAATAAATAAGAATGTTTATTAAAATAATAATAAGCCTCCAAACCTATTTTTATTAAAAAGCACTGAATTCTCTCCATTTCCATTGCACTATAAAAAGTTTCTATTAGCATTTATCACCATCGACCACTCCTCGCTCTCACTTTGCGTCGTTTGCCAAAAGTACCGCGAAACCAACGCGAGCGGGCGAATTGAATCGAGTATTGCCGAAAATGATCGTTCTTAAAATATTTTAATAATAGTAATTAAAG